CAGCGGCAAGGCTTTTGGACATAGCAGCAGGGCTTTGGGACATAGCGGGATGCCTCTATGTCGGACACAGCAGCAGGGCGTTCAGACGCCCCGGCGCTGTGTCTGCTATAGAGGCGAGACACCTCTATGTCAGACATAGTAGCAGGGCGGCTTTTGTCTCTAGCGCCAGGGCGGAAGGGCGACTTTGCTAGAAGCAAATGCCGCCCTGCCGCTATGTCCGACATAGAGGTGTCCTGCCTCTATGGCGGACACAGCGCCGGGGCATCCGAACACCCTGCCGCTGTGTCTGGTATAGGGCGGCTTTTGCCCGCTTGCCTCACCAGCCATAAACCTCACTGCACGTCACTGATAGGGTTATAGGAGATATAAGTTTCAGTTTAAAAAATTAGAGCTTGCAAGTCCTATTAAGCAGGTCCAAGTTCAGTTGGATCAAACTGCATTAAATGCCTGTTTATAGCTTATAATTATGTTCTGACCTTGAAGAACTGGTCTTTCTACTCCTTATTTTCCCTTTTCACTGAAGCATTTTTGCATGTCTTTGTTTTGATTCATGTACCTAACTACCACACCTATATTTATTTTTTTCACTGGAAGACAATTGTCTAAAATGAGAAAAAGCATGAATAAAGTTTGCAGCAAAGGTTGGGACACTGTATGTTAATTAGTGCTTTAGTAACTAAATGGTAACCAAGGCTCATTTTTATCTGCTGAAGAACATAGAGGACAAGGCCAAAGATGTATCTTGCCAGTTATTTAGAACAATTTGTCAATGGACACTTTTTAAATAAACAGTTCTAGGGGAACAGTGTAGTGTACCTTCCTTTCCCCTGTCTCATATAGTCCATGATACCTTTAGATTACATCTCCATTATTCCTGCCTGTGGATCATACTGGGTTGATGAATGATATGGTTTAAAAGTTCTAGAAATTAAATTATATTTTTGTCTCAATGGGCCATAAATTTGATAAAAGATGGGTGATTATATAAATGTTTTTTTAAAAAATAAATAATTGGTGGTTTTAGGTCATGTGCCTAATCTCTAAGGTTTTTTTTTTATGAGCAGGCATTCTTTATTTTGTTACCCTGTGGTAAGATTGGCAGCCAATAAATTTGGTAAATAATTCTTAAGATTTATAATCCCATTACTTGGTTTATTTTGGTAGTCAAGTAGTGTAATAGAAGTAATATAACAATTATTCCAAAGCAAAAACAGAAGAAACAATATACACTAATGAAACAAATGTTATCACAAGAATGTAAAATAAAAAAAAACCTGAACAAGCAGTCTTTGATTTTTGATGGTGTAGTAACCAAAGTTTTTTGGCGTATTTTTGGCCATTTTTCAGGCCATTTTCCAGCGCCCCGGCCCCTGCGAAGACCAACTGGCCATGCTGGAAACCAGAAGAGCAGCTGGCAATGACACACATACCCACAGAGAGGGCTCTGCATGCCACCTCTGGCATGCGTGCCATAGGTTCACCACCACAGCCATAGATCATATAATAAGATTACAAGATTTAAACAAACAAAAAATCCAGAGTGATATTATCTTGTTATTATTTTCTTGGGTTGTTTTATTTATGAAAATGCCAGATAAGTTGTATTTGTTTAGTATTTCATTTTAAATATTGTGAACATTTTCCATCCCCTTTTTTTCCTGTAATTTTCATGCAAGTTGGACAATGCAGATGAGCAAGCTGCCCAGATCAGACGAGAGCTTGATGGGCGCCTCCAAATGGCTGATCAAATGGCAAAAGTAAGTTTGAATTTCTTGTTTTGAGAAGTATAAATTTTCCTAAATAGGTTTGAAGCTGATTATTTAGGGAAGAGTCCCATGCAGCCAATGGAACAAACTACATGGATTTATAACAGCCTTTTCTTGCATTTGCCCTTCTCATCTTGCCTTTTCAGTTCATTTGGATAAACCTTGTTTTCTGATAGATGACTACTAGTGGCTGTGGGTCTTGTTAATAGATGGCACATTTTTGTAACTGCTAAACTGACCTTATCATAAAATGTTTGACAATTTCTGCTTTTAGGTTTGCCAAACAAAAGGCATGGCATTCAAGGAGAAAAGAGGAAAAGAGTGAGGGCAAAACAGGTCAAAAATCAAGCTTCAGCTTCTTCTATAGTCAGCTAAATGAATAGTTTAGTTGTCTATTGTAAAGGCCACCACTGCTAGGTATAATTTGGAAGTGATCATTTTAATTGACACCATACGCTAAGTCTCATGCATACATAATTGCAGAAAGAAAAGAGCCATAGTGGTGCAGTAGTTAGAATGTAGTATTGCAGGCTAACTCTACTCATAGGAGTTCAATCCTGATCGGCTCAAGATTGACTTAGCCTTCCGTCATTCCAAGGTTGGTAAAATGGGAACCCAGATTGTTTGGGGCAAAATGCTGATTCTGTAAACTGCTTAGAGAGGGGCTGTCAAGCACTATGATGTGGCATATAAGTCTAACTGCTATTGTTATTGTTAAAAGAAAAGAAATATAAGCAATGCACAGTCTGAAGAGTTCCAGAGAATATAGGGGTGTAGCCCTACTTGGATAATGAAGACACCTAAGATATCTTTGGGAATTAAGATAGGCCATTGGTGTTATATGTGTCAATAGGATTTTTTTTCACGAAATATTTCTATATATGATGATACAACATCAGGTAATCCAGAAATATGCTAATATTGCTTGGTCTTCAGTTCTCTTGAACTGAACTGAACTAGTTAACAGCTGGACTGTTAACTGGACTCTGTTGCTTCAGATTTCATGGCAAAGTTTACCATCCCAAATCAAGAAATTGGGGAAAGAATTGCAGACATATAAAATGGTTGACATCTTATTTCCAACAGATAACCCCAGAAATCAGATCAGTTTTGATTATTTTTGCTAAGTCCTCGACTTGCAACTGGTCCTAAAGTCCTCAACGTACAACTGGCCACAAGTTCTCGACTTACGATTGACAGCTGGCATCAGCCTAGCCACGCCTGATTGGCTAAGATGCAGCTGGCTGAGCGCGGGCTGCTAGAGGCACTCCTATTGGTCGCCCTGCGTGGCAGCTCCCGTATAAATAGCTGTCAAGCAGGGCGAGGTGCTAAATTCTCTCTGTATATAGTTACCTGTTGTTGTTACACAATAAATAGCTGTTCGCTTACCTCAGCCGCCTCATCTGATTTATTATTATTATATGACCCTGGAACCAGTGATACAAAATAGAAATATTTTGACTGTTCTGTTTAAATATTAAACATTAATGGAGAATGTTTTAAGTACTAATGAGTTGTAGAGTAAAATGCTGGTGATAAAAAGTGCCATAAAAGCAAAATGATTCAATAACCAGTCATTCCTTTTTTTTCTGAGGAAGTACTTTTAAATTTTGAATTATACTACTAGGTTCGAGCTAAAGAAATGATGATCTGTCATTTTACATTACTTCGGATTTATTATCAGAATGTTTCATTTTTGTTTCTTACAATCCTTTTCTATTTTGTGAACATTTCTAAATTGAATTGCATTATTTGGGATACATTGTTTCTTACGATCTAATTGACACTTTAAAGTGGCTTCTGTAGTTTTTCAGGTTAATAATCTAAAGGATACATTTTATATTTACATTAAACAAGATACCAATTAATCAGGGTTGTGTTTATCTGTCTAGGAGTTTAGAACCTAAAGTGACACTGAACTTTCAAAAATATTTTCAAGGAAAGAAAATGTCCAGAGTTCATAGCAAAAGAAATGGAGCACATGTTTATAGAAGAACTACGGTCTTCAGTGAATTTGCTGATGGCAAATTTGGAAAGTCTTCCAGTTTCTAAAGGTGGACCAGAGTTTAAATTACAGAAGTTAAAGCGATCACAGAATTCTGCTTTCTTGGACATAGGAGATGAAAATGAGGTTCAGCTGTCAAAATCGGATGTGGTGCTATCATTCACATTGGAGGTAAGTATATTTTTCATATAATACTTGCTGACATTTAAATTACTTAGGAATATTCCTAACTCCTTGGACTTGTTTACTGTGGTTCCTTTAAAAATTCCTAGAAGTGTGCTATTTATCTTGTATTTTGAATTATCTTGAATTAGCCAGCAATAGGCTAATCTCTCTTTTTAATAATTTTATTAAAGGTTACAATTCTAACAGTAAAACACTATACAAACTAAAAAATTGAAAAAATATGGGGAGAAGATGCAGAAAAGAAAAAAAGAAAAATAGGACAGGAATAAGAATATAAAATAAAGGAAAAAATAAAAAATAAAGAAAAGAATAATATATAAAGAAATGACTTTCTTCTTTATCATAAATATAAACAATTTTAATAACTTACCACTTCTTAAAATACAACAAATAATCCCTTTCCTCCTGTCCTATTTCTTATTTATAAACAAATACATGAAGCTTTATCATTTCAGACCTGATATCAGCAAAAGTCCATTAAGTCTTACCAGAGTCAACAATGTATCTGCTTTAACATGGTTCAAATCAACCAGTTTTATATTCCTTCTTTTTTACTTTTAACTATCTTGATCTTTAGGACATTATTTAAATGTCCTAAAACCTAATTTCTTTTCTTTCATTTTTAATCCTCTAGATTTTTTTTAGTGTCTAATTTTTAAAGTCTTGTCTTATTTTTTTTAAAGTATCAAAAGAAAAGCATTTTTTCCATGGGAAGGATTATGTATAATTAATTCAAAAATCCTATTTCAAATTTATCTGGACTCTTAGTCAGTTTTTAACTTTCTAAAATCAAAGTTTTAATCACTTTCTGTTTATTTCCCCCCATTTTTTTCAGTTCTTGTAACTACAATTCCCTTTGCTATGCATTTGAAGGAAATTCACCGGATTCTTTAAAACATGTCTATCCAAAGGTCCCTAATAGCTGAAAAGGAGTTTAAAAGTAATTTCCGAAAATGATTAGAAAAGGAAGCATGCAAACTTAATGCCTTTAATGTCAGGTTAATCTCATTTGAATAGATCATCCTTTATGTTGAAGTCATGTTAACCTTTTCTAAGGCATAGTAATTGTCTTAACGCAAGAGAAAAGTGATGAAGATTGTTGGACCAGATGCTGAATTTTGTTTAAATTATTTCACTTTGCTTCTTTTTATTATCTATTATCTTAGGACCTATTCAGAAATAACAGTCCTTCAGATTGCTACTAGAGTGTCTGGGTAGATATAATAAGTAGGGAACATTTGTACATTAGCATGAAAACAAAACTAAATCCTCTTCCTATTGTGCAGGGACGCACAATTTTGTTTACTATTATGACCATTTCTTGTCTCCTTTGATAAATATGGCAATCCTTACACATCTCTTGAATTTGGGATTCAGAGGAAGTGAAAAGAAAATTATGCCTGTCAACAATGCACTTCTGAATGCTGCTAATGCTTTTGAAGGCCAGTACAACTCTGTGTACTAAAACCATGCTCTCTGGACTTGCATTTCAGTTTAAAGTCTAGGACCTCTAGATTTTTGCTTTAATGCTAGCCTTTCTTTTCTTTCTTTATTTTTATTTATTTATTTAATTTGTCAAACATGTACAAGATAACAGGTATAAATATAAACATGGACATGAACAAAGGAAATGAGTACAAATAAATGAGGACAGTAGGACAGGAATGGTAGGCACGCTGGTGCACTTATGCATGCCCCCTTTATGAGCTTCTTAGGATTGGGGTGAGGTCCACAGTAGGCAGTTTAAAGTTGAAGCTGTGGGGATTTCAGGATGTAACAACGGAGTCAGGTAGAGCATTTCAGGCATTGACCACTTTGTTGCTGAAATCATATTTTCTGCAATTGAGTTTGGAGCAATTTACCTTGAGTTTGTATCTATTGTTTGCCCATGTATTATTGAGGTTGAAGCTGAAGTAGTCATTGATAGGTAAGACATTGTAGCAGACAATTTTGCGTACTGTGCTTAGGTCAGACCGTAGTCAGCATAGTTCCAGGTTGTCCAAGCCCAAAATTTCGAGCCTAGTGCGTAAGGGATTCTATTGCGAGCAAGAGGAGTAGAGTATTCTTCTCATGAAATACCTCTGGACCCACTTGATTGTATTAATGTCAGATATACAATGTGGATTCCAGGCACACAAGCTGTATTTGAAAATTGGTCTGGCAAAGGTTTTGTATGCCCTAGTTAGCAGTACAATGTTACCAGAGAATAAGCTTCACAAAAGTATGTTTTGTAACAGGGACATATGATTTCTCATTGCTTCACATACACCCTTTAAAAAAGGCTTAAATAACTGC